CAGATATTTGTAGTGATCTTCTTCATCCAGACTCTTGATATTATTTCCACTGAGCATCTTGATTCCATCAGTTTTACTATTTTTTCCCTGTTGATGGTAGGGACGGCACATTTGTCCAATCCAAACTTCATTGCAATATTTTGGCTGTATATTCGGACAGTGTTGGGCAGCGATTCCATTTCAGATTATGTTTTTCCATACAGTTTCAGATTGTTGATGTAAAAGAGGTGAGATAGCTTGGCAGATGTTTTTGATGTTTGATAGCCATGGCCTGACTTATTCAGTATTGTTGACAGAGGAATCAATGCAATGACAAACAGTAGTGGTGATAGTGTGTCTCCTTGAAAGATTCCTCCCTTGACTTCATTTGTAATAGTAGATCATTATTTCTTTGTTTTCAGCCTTCATATATTAGTGATGGGTAAACAACTTTTCTTCCAGTAGTCTTCCAGCTGCTGGCCCTGGTTGCTCAGCCAACAGTCCTGAGTCCTGTAGCCCACTTGTCACCAGATGTCCAGGAACTAGAACACCTAGCATGGTCCTTGTTGACCTGGGTGACAACCGATCCGGGATGGGTTTCTGTAAATTAGGTCTCACCATATTGTTTATAGGAGAGACACTCTTTGTCTGACTCCTCTGATGAGACCTGTCCAGTATGGCTGAACCTCCAGCATAGCTCTCATCCTCCTCCCCAGTATAGTTGAACTTCTGGCATGCAAGCCCCACAACCACCTCCCCAGTATAGTTGAACTTCTGGCATGCAAACCCCACAACCCAGTGAGGTAGTGCCTCACTGAGGGATGATGATGATGATGATGATGATGATGATGATGATGATGATGATGACGACGACGACGACAGCAATGACGGATGATTTAGATTTAATTTTGTGTGCACTTGGCTTTTTGCTGTGGGCTTCACAAGTAGTATGTGCATATACAACTTAGAACATAAGGTTAATGTAGGCAACTAAATTTTTTTATAGTTATTTATTACAATAAAGCTTCTCACTCTTCTCCAACATCTGCTTCCAGCACTTAAAAACTGTGAGCAAAATTCTGTACACATGTATCCAAATTAGAATATTTCAACACATCTGAGGATATGTAGTATGGTTTTTATGTTGTTTTTTATTTGTATTTTGTTCATTATTCTTGATGTTTTAAAACTGTTTGTGAGCTGCCTAGAGTCATATATGTAGCTATATAGAATGAATGAATGAATGAATGAATGAATGAATGAATGAATGAATGAATGAGGCATCAGTCATCTATAGTCACGCACAAACCCAGACAGAGGTCACTTGAAAGACTTCATTGTCTTTTATGTTAATTACATTATGTTATGTTATTTCTTCACTGAAGGCCCAGGGTATGAAATAGGGGTTGTGCGGAGAAAGTGATTAGTCATTGTTACATAACTAATGTTACATACTTCAATACTACTTACCAGTTTATTATAAGAAGAAAGTGTATGGTGGCAAAATACTCAAAGTGTAATTGTACAATAAGATATTCAAAATGTACTGTTCTGTGAGCACACAAATTTAGACTGATTTACACTTATGTATAGCAGTTGATCCTCACTAGGCCCATGCAAAGCATTTGTAAGAAGTGTTTTGCAAAATGTTCTGAACTTAAAAATACCCATGTCCTTTGTGAATTGATGTGACTGCTTTGAAAGCTATCTCTGGCTGTTTCTGTATGTTTATGCATGCACAGCCATCTCACCAGCAGAAGTGCTGCTTGTACATGAAAGTGCAGACAGACAAGAACAAGAAATCTTGCAGAGGACCTGGCTGCTTTTATAGTTCAAAGAAAACACATGGTTTGTGTGTTTGTGATGCATGTCATGTTGAGGAGAGCTGCAAACAGTTTAAACATATATAGCCAATGATCATGCCCAAAACATTTGTATCATCAAAGTACTCTTATTATACATTAGCGGAGAAGTGGTTTCCAAATGTGATGGAATTTGTCCTTGATTGTAGTTTTTACAAGCACTTTGTTATTTTTCATCCACCATATCTCACGGCACTCACTGAGTCTACTAAAGATGTGGGCTTTGTTTTTGATTTTGTCTTTTGCTTTTCACTGTTTTGCAATAACAAAATTAGCAGCTAACGGTGAGAATTCAATTAATATGCATTAAGAAATACTGACAGTAAGCCAATTTCAGGATTTATTGTGGGAGACAATGGGTAGTTTTCCTGATTTCTTCAGTAAATTTCAGTCAAAAGCATTGAGTAATGGAGTATTCATCTAAAAATAATAATATGTACCATTGTATTTACATCTTCATCTACACAGTCTAAAAGGCTTGCCATTAGGGATGTCCAAACATTTCATTTTTAAATGTTTTGATCATTGTGTTTCACAAAATATCTAATTTTGAGTATAAGGCAGGCTGTTTTGCGTATTTTTGAAAGTGTGTCAAGCTCAAACTACTTCAAAAAAGCCGCAACAGTCCAGTGAGATGGGACATGTTGTAAAATTTCACACTTGAGACATTTCAGAATGAAACATTTTTCATAGCCCTACTTACATGTCAAATGATGTAATTTTAGTAGAGTATAATAGTTCTCATGGATTCTGCTTAATTCACAGTTACATTATGTCAACCATTTTAATTCATCCTTTTCTTGCTTTCTTTTATAGGAGATCAAAACTGAAAGCTGATAGATATTGCAAATAACCAGAACTGTGGAGCACTTTTTTTCTTTCTTTATTAGCAGCTTTTTGTGTGTGTAAATTCTTTTAAATAAAACAGACTTGTCAAAGATTAACTACTCTAAAACGTTGGGTTTTTTTCCTTTAGGAAGTAAGTCCTTGTGTTAATATACTTAATATCTCCATGTTTCTAATGGCATTACATTATAATCACTACAGGATTACCGAAAAAAAGAAGCATAAATTTGGAGAAAATCTGTGAATCCAATATATAGTAGGACAAGAATTGTGATAGAGACAAATGGCTCTGGATCGCTTAAAAAAGAGCCATACATACATAAAATTAAGTATCATGCCATTAGTAGCATTGACAACTTTTACAAGCCTAAGTAAAAACTGTTCTAAGACCCCTTTTACAGGAAGGCAGTTACTTCCATTTTAATGTTAGTTCAAAATCAAGGTCCTACCACAGGAGGAGGAGAATTTGCTGTTGATGTTGAACATATGCAGGATAGGACCTGCAAAAGATGCTCCAATAAGACTGAAGGTAAGGGATAGACTTTATGGGAGAAGGTGGTCCCACAAATAACTTAAGCTATGTAAGCTATCATACATCAAAGTGAACACTTTGGATTGGGCTTAAAAGGCAACTGGCAAGCAGTGTAGAGATTTCACAAGAGGTACCACCACCAAACTGCTGCATTTGGAGCCAGCTACAGTTTCCAGAACTCTTCAAGGGCTGCTCCATTACAAATATGCTGCAATAAAGTATTTATGTATGTATATATATATGTATCTATGTATTCATTTATTTATTTATTTAATACCTGCCACTGTTCTCAGGCTCAGTGGTTAACAATACTACAATAACACTGCAATCAAACATCCATAACATAAATTTAAAAATTACAATATAAAACAATAGTAAGACCAACAATAATAAATCAGTGCCATTTCATTCTCCGTAGGCTCTCCAAAAGGTTACAGAAAACCAAAAAATTGGGGAAGCTGATTTCTAGCAGGAGGCTTTTCCATAGTGCAGACACTCCCCATAAGAAGCAGCATTTGCAGGTCAGGTCCCCTTTGCCTCACAAAAGTAGGGAACCACAAGATTTTCCAGGATAAGCAGTCAAAATTGGTTAGGCTTTTTGTACAAGCCATGATGACACTGTGCATATCATGATGATGTCATAATATTGGGACATGCATGAAATCCACTGAGGTTACAATGCCAAGTCTTTCTCCTTCAGGTAGGAGTGTAAATGGTTTATCAAGCAAAGCTAATAAAAGACCTCTACTATCATAAATGTTCCTATAATCAAGCATCAATGCTGGATCCAGGAATGTGTACACATACCCAGTTTCTGAGCTTGTTCCTTGCAAAGTGAATCCATGCAGAACAGAGGTATCACCTTGATCCTAAAGTCTAATCCTTGGAATCAGCCATCACTATGTCTTACCCAAATTCAGTCTCATACTGGTAGAAATTGGTTCCAAACTGATACACAATCCTGCTTTGCAGATATATCAGCCTGGAGATAAATAGAGCTTGCAGAACAGGAGAAGCATATCATGCTGGGGGAAATTGGCTCCAAACTCATACACAATCTTGTTCTGCAGCTTTGCAGATATTTAATAACATGAGAAATAAGATGGACTCTTCTGATACTGCCAAGGACAATTTCAAAACTTGAGCAAATGCTGCTTTCTGTAAGAGTCTGGAGCTATAGCACCATGTGTTGTCCATCAGCCTGACCAATTAGGAAAGTTTGGGTACCAGCCTGTAATTCTTAAAATTAGTCACATGCAAATATGGCTTCTTAAGCAAAATTGGGGCAGACAGAGGAAATAATGTGAATTACTTCAGTACACTGAAACTACCAAGGGGGAGAGAGGCTATCCAATGTGATTATACACTTTCCTTCACTATAAATTTCCATGTTGCAAACTAGTGGCCAAGGCTGATAAAAAATAATAGTAACAAATTCAAACATCCTGGGGAACTATACATTACTAAAGTGAAAATGGTCTATAATAAGCAAGCTATGTTACAATTAGAGCTGATTGGCAGTGTTGTCCTGGAAGAAATACATTTCTCCAGAGCTGCTTCTCAAATAACTATATATGGGTTTTTGGTGTGTGCATCTTTGAGTCAATGTTGACTCCTGGCAGTGTCCTGGACAAGTCCCTGCAGATGGCATAGGTTTTTCAGAAGTGGTTTGCCTTTGCTTTCTTCCCAGGACTGAGAGAGTAACTGACTCAAGGACACCCCAGCTCCCTTTGTGCCCAGGGTGGGACTAAAATTCACGGGCTACCAGTTTCTAGCCTGGTGCCTTAATCACCACACCAAAATTGGTTCTCATAACTATATATGATACCGCAGCCTAAAATGCATTTTTGACATCAGTGCACAAGAGTGAAGGAAAGGTAAATCATACACAAAACAGCCTGACAATAGTCAGCTTTACCTGTTTATGCATGATTGATCTTATAACAGTTGTGTAAATACTTAGGGCTCAAATATATAAGAAATATTGGGAGACACAAATATTTTAGCCCAAACTTTCCCCATCTTACAATTTATATTTCTATTATGTCAAAAGTTTCTTTATTGTGGAAATACAGTTTTATCACTGCTATTAGCATATGTGATCTTTATTGATAAAAATGCCTATCAAATTTTACCAGTACTTTACCAGAAACATTCAAACAAATCCTGAAATGTTTGGAAGATCTGAATTTCTGCTTTCAAGCTTCACTGTGTCATCTTTTCCCACATTTCTAGATTCCTCTCCTTTAGAATTCTAATGTTCCAAAAGAACATTAGGAAGAGATATAAAATACAGAATGGCAAAGCTACAAACTTGGTACATCTTCCCTAGCAATAAATCCCATTGAGCACAGAGGTGCTGATGGCTGAGTAAAGATACATAGGACTGCACAGTTAATCAGTAAAACAGCATACAATGTAGTATCTTCCCAAACATGCTAGAGAGTGAATTGCACAATTTGTGGAGAAAAGGGAATAGAACAGAAAGGGCTTCCAGATAAGCCAGTTTCCAAAATGTGTATTTCTCATGCTGTAAAAATAGCTGCAGTCCCAACCTAAAGTAGTTACAAAAAGTAGTTGTGCAATGTTGCTGCTTACAAAATAGTTAATGTGGATTATTGCTCCAAATGAAATTTATCCTGAGGAAATCTCAGTTTAGACTGAGTGCAAATCTAGTCACTGTCTCTTTTGGGGGGAATGTAGCTCTTTAGGAATTATAACATTGATTTCTAAGTTTCTATCTTTGTATTTATATTAACATATATAATTTTCATCCATATCTGTTCTTCTCTTTCACCCTTTGTCATTCTGCACAAGTGTTTGCCCAATTTGTTAGTGATATGCCCATTTTCTAATTACACTTTAGGTGTTTCCTTTGGGGAACGCTTGAGGAATAAAATCATATAAACATCCTGTTTGATTTTATCTCTTTTCACTCAATGAATACCACCTACTTATAGGAATTGGCTAATGAAGAAAAAGCAGCTTACTGTCCATCCACACCCTCCTTTGGCAATCTAAAGGAGTGCATCCATAGAAAATTCAATTTCTTATCACTGGATTTTTCACTACATAATACCTATGGCAAAACAGATGGGTGTGGCAGGGTGTTCTTTATTTTTTAATATATTGTTTTGGTGGCCTAGTTTCTCTGTTGGGCAGCAAATAGTCTTGAATGGATAGCTATTGGGTAACTTTTTAAAAAAAATATCTATGTATATAATTAAATCTGGGAAGGTAACATTAAAAATGTTCATTGTTCTCTCTTCTGATCTTTTCAGAGGTATGTTCTGATTATGCAAAATGTTTGAGTTCAAGGTAACACAAATAATTTTTATTGCTTTAACCATAGGTTGTAACAAAATTAACATACATATCAACATGATTATTATAATGATGATGGTGAATATGATAAACTGAAAGAAATCCAAAACTACAGCTGATAAATGTTCATGCATCTATGACCCAAGAATGAGCAAAAGAGAAATGGTAAACAGAGAATCTCTCAAACAGACTGATAAAACATGATTATTGGAAATTACCTAAAAATTAGTTGCAGCAGTTGCCAAGCAAAATTTTTACAGCTATCAGCTACATCTTATTTTTGGGGGCAATCAGGAACAAATATTTCTGAGGATCAGGCCAAGAATATAGCTCATTTGTTTACATGGCCTACTTAAGAAATTGGACAAGATAACACATATGAGAAATAATTATAATACTAACAACAATAACAACCTGGAATAGCTTATATCCTGCGACGATACCTTTAACACCATCAAACAACATCTGCCTATCCCAGGTCCTTGGGAAAGACTCGATACGTGGATAAAAATGCCAAATCCAATCTAAACATCTGGTTGACTGTGCAACCATAATAATAATAATCCATCAGTGAGGCACTACCTTGACATGGTTGTGGGGCTTGGGTGCTCTGAGGAGGATGAGAGCTATGCCAGAGGTTCAACCATACTGGACAGGACTCTTAGAGGAACCAGACGAAGAGTGTCTCTCCCATAAACAATACTCTCCAATAAACAACTTGTGGAAGAAAACTTGTTTACCCATCTCAAGTATACAAAGACTGAAAACAAAGAAATAATGACCTGCTATTACAAATCAAGTCCAAGAAGAAGAGGATATCTGAAAAGAATGTACCACTTTTAGAAAGAACAACATCCAGAATCAAAAAAACAGAACAGACACTAGCAGAACAATGTCAATTTATAACATGAAATAAAGTATTCACAGAAGCAGAACTGGAATAACTGCAAAGGTCTACCCAGAGCAAAGAATTCAAAGCCTTGCCAGAAGTAGCTCAGACAGTAGAGGCAAATCGGGGAGTCAGCAGTAGAGGAAGCCAGCATAGCTATTGAATTGTTTTCATTCCCAAACTAGGCACCCTCTCCTCTGCCTTGTCCTCTGAAATAACAAAGCCCAATAACTAAAAAACAAGAGGAATTGAAAGAAAGAATAACTGAGCATTTAGAACAGCACAAAAAGTACAGAATAAGGTTGCCTGCATTGAAGCTTATTACAAAGAAACAACCAGCACAAGTATTAAAATATGCCAATACTGTAATATCAAATATAAGCACCAGCTCACTGCAAGAAACAAACCAGCTAAT